AACCTTTAACAGCAGAGCAGATTTGGAAACACAAGTGGTAGAAAGGAGGATGGACTTCTTGAAAATGTGCACTATTCGTTGAAAATAGAGGCCAGCAGCAGTGAGGTAAACATCTAATTAGGACTGCCACGATTACTTGACTGAACACAGTTAATGGTATCAATTATCTTTTGTATGGGGGCGGCATGGTGGCGCAGTGGGTAGCGTTGTCGCCTCACAGCAAAAAGGGCCTGGGTTCGATTCCCGGCCGGGTGACCAGGGTTGTTTCTGTGTGGAGTTTGCATGTTCTCCCCGTGTCTGCGTGGGTTTCCTCCGGGTACTCCGGTTTCCTCCCACAGTCCAAAAACTAAATTGCTAAATTTCCCCTAGGTGTGAATGTGTATGTCTGTCTGTCTGCCCTGTGATGGACTGGCGACCTGTCCAGGGTGTATCCTGCCTTCTGCCCAATGACAGCTGGGATAGGCTCCAGCGACCCAGAAGGATAAGTGGTTTAGATGATGGATGGATCTTTTTGTATGTTTGCAACAGTTGTGGTTGGCGTAGTGGGTAACACTGCTGCTCTACTCAGCAAACTGGGGTTTGATTGCTTACTTGGGCGAGCACCCCACACTACACCAATAAAAGTGCTTGGGCAAGACTCCATGTTACATTTGCCTCATCTTTTACAGAATTAAACTGAAAGTTGCTCTGGAGTGTCTGCGAAGTGTGTTAACATACAGTAGTGTTTTTTGCATTGTCTTTTTAAAGGCTTCCTAGCCTTTTTCCAATTAAGTATCGCAGCAAGGTTTAATGTTCAGTTAAGTCCATTTTGTTAATTTATTTCCAGCAAGTCCCTGCAGGATAATCAGTAAGCTGATTTGTTCTTCTTCTTAAAGGGCAGGAATTTCTATGCAAACAGATGCTTTGTTAAGCGTTAAACGCTTTTCCATTCTTATTTCAACCAGTGACTGGTTTTCACCTTTGTAACATCTCTGGTAGAACATGTTAACTTGCTAAATTATTAACTGCACTTTTTTTTGTAACTTTATATTCCATTTTCCTATTTTGTCCCTTAAAACAACCTGTAGTTCCACAAAGCTGCAGTTAGCTTCTATTCAAATTCGGCATCCCACCTTAAATGCTGCAACAGCTGTCAGGCATCAGAATGTTATTGCTGCACCATTTAAGGTGGGGCTGCAAATGCAGCCAATAAGAAAGAAGCTAACATAAGAAGTTGTCTTCTGCCTTGTCAAGATGAATGCCACCATAGTTGCTCTCTCTGAATGCTGAGGAAATGTGGAAACTGCTTTGATTTTATTTTCATGTTCACCTTGCGTTCATGTGATTTTCTGTTCAGGTTCAAGTTAACTCTGTGTTCACACAATGAAAATAGTGTCATTAAATTACTGAAAGTAATAAATTGCTTATTTTGTTGACATTTGTAGCTATAAGAAAATAAACTAGTTTGAACAAATAATACAAATGCGATAAATCAAGACTAACTACACAAAGCAATGTGATTAATCATGATTAATTATTTTAATCGCTCAACAGCTCTAGAATTGACCTTATAGTATTTCCTATGGATTATGCCTGTTTCAGGGTTGTCAAACTCAACCACTAAAAGAGCTGTATTAAAAATCTCAACAAATCCATGGGCCAACTGTGTTTTTATTTTATTTTTACTTAACATTTTGCCATGACCCCAACAGGCCATTGTTTGTTCAAAATATACCAAAACTACAAAGGCAAAAAATAAGCACTAAATATTTGAACGATTCAAAAATAATAATTTTAAATAAAAACAAACTGTTTCAAATAAAATAATAGACTACATTAGCTGCAGTTAACTGTTAAACCACTTTAAATGTACCCAATGTGCAGTAGGTTTTTTAAAACTGCCCATTCTGCACACCTGCCACCTTTGGTAATGCAGTTTCATAGATCTTTTTGGAGAGGGGGTGGGAGCACACTATGTTGAAGTGCATGCTGGGACCTGTAGTGCAGTTCATGGTGAAATGGGCTAATATTAACAGACAATTAAAATAGAACTGTGTCACAGGCCTGACTTGTGTTTGACACATGGGTCCTATATCCTAATTGTGGACAGACACCTGTTGAACCTGAAGGATCCGCTCAGCTGCTGCTGCCGATTCTGAAAGTTGGGCGGCATCAGTCCTCAGGGTGTGGTGGTGCTCTCTCTGGTGTTAACGAGGGAGAGGCAGGCCACCCAGCATGTGTCCCGGTCAGCATTCTGAAGCATGGGTGACAATGAGTTTGATGGTAAGGCACACCAGACTCTGGAATTTCACCAGGAATGCCTTCAGTGAGCCTGTTTCTCAAGAGTCTGACCGAGTCCCTGACTCAGCTCAGACTGAGAGTTTAGAAGGAATGCACTGCACACAAGTTACACTGAACCTGAATATGTAAACTTTTAGCAATAATAAGTGTACTGAACTAATAGACAAGTGTAAGTGTCAGGGCGCTATAAACCGACCTGCAGCACTTATTTTAACCCTTTGAACTATAAGGCCTCATTTGTGGAACTGCACTTCAATCTCATTCTAACTGGCATATTATCTTGCATATTAACAAGCACTGTATTGCTAGCCAGCACAGATGTCTGTTAGTTGATGTAACAGAACTGGCCGTTAGCGTTCTCCTCCAAGCGCGTTCAGCTGTCCAATGTCGTTACGTTAGCAGCAGTTCTAAAAGATGCGGTGTCTGTCTTCACAAGAAGCTTGTGTTTGCCTTCACCCTCCTATTGTGTGACAATTTTCATAACATAGGCCCTCTAAGGGGTTACTAATCTTATTAATTTGAAAGCTCTAACACATTAAAACACAATAATATTTAAAAAGCAACAGTACCACCCCATTCCAGTATTAAAACGTTATAGTACGTTAAGCTCAGGAGACACTTTCTGGTGTTGCTCATTGCAAACAAACAAATAGGACTATCCTAAAGCTGTTTCACTACATTCAAGTCATGTGATTATGCATGGTGTGAATGAGACCATGCAGTTAGGGCTGAGAATCACCTTATTTTAGCAGGAAAATTTCACCCAAGAGAGCACTGCCAGGCGTGGCAAAGCCAAAGGTCATGACTTTTTCAGGGTGATGTTTGTTTGTACAGGCTGTGGTGGGAGCATTACCCCACACTTAGGCTATTAATTACTCAGTGTGCCTGTGCAAACATGCCACATTGTTTTGGGGATGAGAGTTAATGGATTTTGGTGGTGGGTGGGACAGGGCTGGCTTTTTTAACCTTGCTCTCCACCTCAGCCTCCTCAGAGTACACGTCACCCTTGCACTGGGAACACTATAGGGATTTGTGAAGAATGCCTCATTTGCAGGAGCTTTACATATAGTGCAAATTCCTTCCCGCTGCTTCTATCAGTACGGGTTGTGTTAAAGAATAGTCTAAAAGTCTAAACTTATGTCTTTGAAGACTGACTTTTGGTTCCCTAAGGACACTTTCAATAGATTCTGCTTTAAAGAACTGTTTTGAGATCTGCAAGCATGAAGAACCTTTTTAAAGAACCTCTTTAAAGCACATAATGTGAAGGTTTTTCCTAGAATGTTATGTAAAGGTTCTATACCTATAAAAGGTTTTGACTAGAACCACGTCCAAGTCAAGTATAAATTAAGTTAAATGATTGAGGAATGTGGTAAATGGAAGGATTTACTGCGCCTTTGTGGGTTGGGGATAAAGAAGGAAATTTGAGATGGTTTTATCCTTGGAACCATCATGGGAAGGTCACTTGAGGTCATTGCTCAAAATTGTTTAAAACGGTTTAACACAGTATACAACAAAAGTGCTGTGACATTTATTTTGTTCAGGAAGAAATTGCTAAATGGATCACTGAAATTAGGCCATATACCCTATGATATCTTTGAATGCAGTTCTGAGATGTTGAAAACCATCAGTTTCACATTCTTATCTCCCACTTAGGAAAAGTTGGGGAGTTTAGTTTTTTAAGGAAATCTTTGGAACAAAAGCATGCCGTGGAATTTTAAAATATTTGGGAAAACTCCAATGGGATTGACATTTTGCATAAACATAGTCTTAGCAGGCAAAAATCTGCTGTCGGATATATAACATTAAATTTATTTAAAAAGAAAAGAGAGCCAGTGAAAAAAGAAAACAATGAATTAAATATAATTAAAAAATGATAATAATAATAATTATAATAATAATCTCAAAGCTCAGGGTTTACAAAGCATCCAAATCAGAGCCTAAAAATCACAGTAATATCACAAAAGTAAAACAAATTTAAACAATGAAAAAATATGAAATATAGAAAATCAACAAAACAGAATGCAGTATAGAATAGAACCCAATAATAGAGCCTAGCATTTAACAACAAAAAGAAATCAATAAAAGAAAAAACAAGAAAAACAATACAAACCATAATAAATGAATAAACAAATAAAATACTGTCAGATGTCATCTCAGCAACTATATAAAAGATTTTCATTAGCTGTGTCCACCCATTGCTTTTGTTACAGCTTCCATTCTTTTCTAGGAGACTAGCTTTAAGTTTTTAAGAGGAATCTGCAGGGACGTTTATCCACACCTCCAAAGTTATGGCTTAGAAGCTGATTGCATTTTCTGCTTCTCATGATCTTAATAACCCCAAGCATAGTGGTGAAGTCTGGACTCTTTGTTGACGAGTTCATTGGTTTTGAGAACACCAGCACTTTTTTTTTCGATTTGCAAATTTTCTTCTTTTTGCCTGTTTCTTTTTCTCTGTAATGGCTTCTGACTGCTACACACTCTTTCAGACCCATAGTGCTGAGTTGTTTTCTCACAGTGGAAGGATGAACAGAAACACGTGATTTTACTACTTTACTACTTTCAGCAGTATTGACATATTTGATGAAGTTTTATTTGCAATTTTTATTTATTTTATATATATAATATATACATAATGATCATTCCACGTCCAATGTACGCTGTAGTGCCTAACTGAAAAAGGCAAACTTATTCTTAATGATCTTTACTGCTTTTTTGTGTAGGTTGCCTGGGACAGGATACATCTCCAGCAAGCCCTGTTGCTCTTACTGTTACAAGAATAGTGATGCTCACAAACCCAACGACCGCCCCAGCTACTGGTGGTAAGTACTCTTTCATTAGTTATGAGCCTACAGAATTAATTCACACTGCTTCAGTTGGACGTTGACTACTGACTGACTATTGCTTACTGACTATCTTCCATCATACAATGTGGAATTTATAGGGAATTACTGTTAGATGTTGCATGCTAACATCCTTATTTATACACCTGCATCCCTAGATATTTTAACACTTTGAGGCACATACGTTACACTTTATACTTGGCTGCAGTGGTTGCAATGGCTGCAGTCCTATTAAAATCTCATAAATTGTTTTATACTTTAACATCATTTGAAAATGCCAGATGCCCTTTACAATGTTTGAGCATTTTGTAATAAATTGGCTAAAATTGGTTCAAACTTACTTGGAATAAAATTTACATTCTCTTCATAGAACACACTTTTGTATGTTGTAATGCATAATTACTGTTTATTTGCTGTGTGTCTGTGTATATAGTATCTGTATTCAGTCCAAATTACATTTTTAGAGAATACTGTTAGAGCACTCACCTACTAAACAAAGATAAATCTTCAAAAGAACCACCAATGCTTGTTTATTAACTCTTTTAAAATCAGCACGTCATGCAGTAAACATGCTCATTAGATGAACCTCATTTAACAGCTTCTTTACAAACAATGAAGTTCCTGAGTAGACTGAGTAGACTGATAAGCCAGTGTGATGAGTCAGTTTTCAATCTCAGTGTTTTGAGGGCTGATCAAACTAATAATTCCCTCAGATAGCAGACATGTTTGTGAGTGATAAGTTTAGCATCTGTGTTGTAGCAGCAGTGGGCTGAAGCAGGTAATGACAGAGAGAAGAAAAAATATTTTTATTATTATTATTATTATTATTATAAATTTAAATGATAAGCAAATTTTCCATGCAACATATTAACAGAAGAATTACATGAAGAAAACTGCAAACCAGCAACAGCAAGGAACAGTGCAAATTAAGTAAAAAATGACAGCAGAGATTTTTTTGTTTTATCAATATGTATTCTAAATGTATGTTTGTGTGTATGTGGTGTGTATATATTTACAATTTAAACCTCCAGGTATCAAATATTGTTAGGGCCCTAAAGCAAAGGAAAATTCCAAACAACCAAAGCAAATGTGTGTAAAATGTTGATATTTTTATGTTTTATACAGCTGAAAGAGCCTGAGTTCAAAATGTGCCCAAAGAACACTGATGCTTACAAAATGTGTACAGGGCACTGAAAACATACCATTATGTAAACTTTATGTTTATCCAGTTGTCCCCATTAAATCAGGAAGAGTCATTAACTTTGAAGAAAAAAACTGACCTATTTATTTAGAGATGTTAGATATTGAATGGTACCAAACTGACCCCAAAGATAACAGGAGTGTGTATTTATTGATCTGTATGTTTATTGTGAGGTGTGTTTATTGTATGTTCTGCACTCGTTTCACCCTGTTGTCACAGGGCCTGTTTCATTTCAGTGTATACAAGTTATATTGAGGAATGACAAGTTATGAAAAGTTATGGCACATTATATGTATTTTTTTATTTATTTTTTCCTGTATGTTAAACTCAGCAAATACATAGAAATTGTACAGTACAATTAGCAGAAAAATGCCATATTTAGGTTCCAGAGTTGCTGAGGATATGCGTGTTCAAAACTTTTGATACAACTGTATAAGTTACAGCCTGAATTTTCATCTTTATTGATTTGTGCTTTGATTTTCTCTCTTCACAGCTGCTAATGCCCCAACTGACACTGCTATCTCTAATGCGCCCGAGGACACCAAAGCATCTCAAACAATTGCACCTGTAACTGTCAAGGACGCTGTAAGCAGTCTAGCTACAGACCAGGCCACCACGGCAGCACCCTCTGGAGGCAATCTTAATTCTTTCACTGTCATGCAGGAAATAGACATTCTGAAATTCTTTGACAAAGATGATTCTGCAGGCCCTGAAAAAACTAGCATTGTGGTGAAGACCTCTCAGCCTTTTGAAATGGTGAGTGATTCTGTCCTGCACTGAAATTATTATGTCTCTTAATTTCAGTGCAATATGAAAGTATATTTCAGTCTTAGTAATTCAAAATGAATACACAAACTTGTGATAAACAGAGGAATAAGAGGAAAAAAATCTCTGAAATTCTGTTGCCTGCTCTTTGATGTGGTCCACACTTGAATGGGCAGGTTTTTCCAATTATTTTTGCCTAATTTCTCAGAGAGTGAGGTGTGTGGAAAAGGAGGCAGTACAGGACAGGGTCGCTGTGAAGGTTGAGTTGGAGACCGCTTCCAACTGTGTGAGTAGAGCAACACTTCACACTGGAATGCTGAACACTGGTCACATAAATATTAAATAAATAATAAATAATACACTTCAACCTCACCAGTGCGTTTTAGATTCATTCTCTATAAGTGTTCAGTCTCCAGTCTCTACTGGCCATACATAGAAACTAAGCTGCAAAAACAGCCCAGTCCACTTATTCACCTATTCAGCCTACAGCAATATATCTCGACCCATTCATGCTGAAGCTATAAGGAGTGTTTCAGCCCAGAGTGCTTTTTGAATGAAGCACAATACAAGTCAGCCAATCAGAACAGAGGTTATTTTTATATATCTTTCTTAAAGGCACAGTCACAAAAACAGCCTGTTTAAAGTGATAAAGGTTGGAAATGGTCTTGTAAACATGAATCATGACTGTTTTTGGTACATAAAAACACTTCCCTACTATCACCACTGTAATAATAGAAAATAAAATACAAGACAAATGAAGGATATGAGCCCTCTAAATGTAAAATCGAAATCAACATTTAAAAGTAACAGATAAGAATAAGAGATTTTGTACTATATGTGTTCTTATTGGTAATGTACTATAAGTTTTGGCACCCCTTGTCAGATTGGGTGCCCCTGGTGAAATTACACGTTTTGTTCATTTTTGCTCTACAGAGAACACACTTCTGCCCATTTTGGTGCACAGTTACTGCAAAAAAGCCATATGTTTGCTCCCTGCAGAGGATGTGTTAACTTATTTTCACTTAGATAATCAAAAAACATGTAATTTGACTTGGGGTATTCAAATTTTTGCATATGATTGACCTTAATGGAATTTGCCAACTTATTATTGCCAGGTTATGTAACTGACAGATTTTTTTTAATCTAGTAATTTATTAAATTGTAAATCTTTTTTCTTGTCTTTCCATGTTTAATATTTTAAGGACAACACAAGATGTATATCTTAAAAAAAAACAAAAACACTTGAGAATTACTTTATAAGGGATGACAGTTTATTACTGAACATGCTCATTGGTCCTTGCTATATTTTCATAGAAGTCATGCTAAGAAGCACTTAACACTAAAACATTAGTGCCTAGATCAAGTATATGTATAAATATAGGTGTCTTAGTGTTTAGCCTTATCTTACCTAATGTCTTGGTGATGATGCATTCAGACAATTTGGTGATCACCCCTTTAACTCATTAACCCCTTACAATCCCAGACTTATTGCATACTAAGGCTTATTATTCAGTAGCTACAGGGACTTCAGTGCAAAATGTAATGAATCTTTGGGTGAGCCAGTGAGCCCTGACCATTTTAAGCGTTAATATCTGTCCCAAAAGTAATTGGGATACAAGCATGTCACTTAAATCTATCAGTATATGAAGTATAAACTGTCTGCATGCTACTATGTTTTCTGTCACTAAATCAAAAATATTAAAGAAACACAATGCTGCCTATAATTGGATTCATCGTTTCTGAGTGAGCATGCGCACATGTTCAGAACAGTATTCACTAAGAGCTTATCATTATGTGAGTAATGATAAAAGAGAGTAACGAAGAAGTGTGAAGTTTATTGTTATTAATATACCACACAAAAAATATGAATTCTGGGTTTGTTCTTCACATACCAAAATAAAGAAAAAAAAACATCTAATTACCAGAGTGAATCTTGTAAGAAATCACATTAATAAAAGGTAGACTATTAAAAAAATGGTTCTTCAAGGGTTCTTTAGTAAAGAAAATGTATATAGCCATGAACATTCAAAGAACCATTTGCATGATTAAAGGGTACTTTGCATAGTGAAAGCATTCTTCTTTTTGAAAAGAGCCTGTTGTGATCTTGTGCATGGTGGAAAGCACTGTTTTTAGTGGTAGTAATCTCTATCTAGCTCGGTACACATGCCTGAGGAAGGAAGCTTCAGTTGGGCGAAGATAACTTTGTAAGCCAAGGCGGTTGGAGTGTTCTAGTCTATGCAACCAGACTGTGGAGATCCTGCTGCACTTGTCACTTTACAACAGTACTAAATCATCCTTTCACACAGCAGTTGTGAGCAGGCGGACAAAAGGCACCATTTATAGTGGACTTGGCCACAAAGAAGTCAGTCAGACGACTTGGAGGGACACTGTAGAGGATGTACTAGTGTTGTAGTCATGACCAAGACTTTTAGTGGTCAAGTCTGAGGTGAGACTGAGACAAGAATGAGACCTGAATAATACAATCTAAATGGTTAAATCTTGTGGACTGCAAAAGCTTTTGTGTGGTTTTTTCAGTAGGGAAGTGGGGTCTTGGATCGCCCCACAAATTCTTTTCAGATGTCAGATGTCAACAAACTCTCCTTGGCCTCTTTGCCCCCATCATGCATTTGGTCTGAAATAACTTTAACTTTTAAGCAAGCGTGTAGTAAACAATATGTATGTAATAAACAGAGACACTAGTAGAACTAGCTGGTGAGCTAGCTTAGTTAGTCAACTAGCCTACAGCAGCACGACTGGTGTTTACAACTTGGCAAAATGGATAAGAAAAGGAGAGAAGGGTATAGCTGAGAGAAAAATATCCTCAAACTTACTACTTACTACTTACTACTTATGCAAGGAAGTAAAAGGTTGGTCCGAAAAAAACAAAAAAAATTTGCCACTTGTACTCACATCAGCACTCTGACATACAGATGGCTAGCTACCGCTGTGCTAGAACACATTGGTTGTAGTTTTATCATGTTGAGCTACAGATAGCCTAGGCAAAATGGTGTGAAAGCACAGATGGAGAGACCTTAAATTTCTGATACACAATATCCAACTATGAAAAATGTCTGTGGAAGGCAACATCTCCAACTCAAAAGAAAGAAGATCGGAAAAAGGTATCACTATTTGAGCCACTTAATTGTGTTTTTGAGTGACTTTAACAGAGCAGTTGGTGTTATCACTGGTTGGTTATTTAGTGTTATAGTCATTGTAAACTGCACTGTGGACAAGATATATAGCTACTGTATAGAGTTATGCTGTGTTTGGCTTGGAAATCAGAGCTCAGAATGAAATCATTTTTGATCTGCATGCTTTGAAGCTACAAAGGTTAAAAAAAAAAACATGGGCACCTACATGAAAACTAGTATTGTTAGCAACAAGCTAGCTCACTAAGGATAGTGATATGAGTGATAACTTGTGCGCAAGATGCTTTGATCTCCTCAAAACAAGAAACTTTATGGCCAGTGTTATGTATACTTTGTCTGTATGTTGATTGAGCGAGTGAATACTACTATAATCTCATTTTAAAGTAGAGAAGTGGATCATTATTACTGTTGATGTAGTGAGCAGCCATACTAATATGATCTCACACGCTGAACCTGGAGTTGAGAACACCACCTCGACTTTGCAAGTAGGAATTCCTCGTTAATGGGGTGATTTGTGTGGTTTCACCTAGTCTGTGAAATTGAATGTAGTTTTAACATAGTCAACATAGCTAGCTACTGTACAGAGTTAAAGCAACATAATATACCTACTGTATAGAGTAATGCTGCATTTGACTTGGCTCGAAAGTGGGAGCTACAAAGCAGAGAAAAAACATGCATGGCTTCATGAAAGTGAGCATTGTTAGCAACAAGCTAGACAGGTAATGTTAGTGATGTGGGTGATAAAGGTCAATAATTTATTTACCTTCTTCAAAACAATGAAATTTGTGGTCAGTGTTATAGTTTAACCAACTAGTGGGTTCTATATGTTCATTAATCTAAAGCAAATGCTATGATAATATTATTTAATTCTGTTGATTTGATGTCATACACTGAGCTCAGAGTTAGGAACTCTATACAGAGTTAAGTTTTCTTCAGTTCAACACAGCATAAGTTCAGCTATGCTACAGTCGTTATTAATGTAGACTATGGCATTAAGTTAGTTAGCAACATTAAAAGCTTAAGTCTTGAATGTTCCGCTTATCCAATCAGTCAGATGTCTATGCTAAAAAGTCTCAATTTCTAAGAATAACCTCAACAGTTGTTTTAAAAGAATCAAGTTTTGGGTGGAGCATGTCTAGATTCATTGTTTACCATAAGATGGCAGATTCCAGACTTCATATCAAGTGTAACTAATTTCAGCTTCCAAACCAACAAACGTTTTGTGAAAGTGACATCTTACTTTGTTAGAGTTAAAAGCAGGAAGTAGAGAAATAGACCTTTCATCTGACCATTTCAACACCATACACTGGTGTCTGGCATGCGTCCTTGCAGATGATGAGCAGGGGCTCTTCATATGGAATGTAGAGCCTGCTTGCTGAATAGGATGAAGGGATGGAATTCAATCACTTTGTCACATGACAAATAGCCCAGATAGGGCTGCATTACAGACACAAAGGTTCAGAAACAAGCTGCTACAGAATAAAGGAGAATCTGTTCAAACAATCTAATGAAACCTTCAGCAAAACATCTGAGGGAGTGCACAGCTCAGCCAAAAGTAAAATCTCTTTGGAGATTTCAGTGTGCTACAGGAAAACAGCTAAGTCCTTCAGAAAAGGGGGTGGTCAGAAGTATCCTAATAATGGGAACATCTTGCTTGGGACATGTCTTGAGAGTTGTTCCCGTGCATAGGGAGCATGCCAAGATGGAAAAAACTCTCAGAGAGAAAAGTGCAAGAATGTGACTGCTAAAAATGGCCATCTAATAGTCCCATGTGAAAAGTTGAAGCTACAAGATAAAGCATATGCCATCTAAAAGGGGCTCAAACTAATAGCAAAGACAACAAACATTAGTCTAACTAATTTACTCATCTTTCATGTACAGTTCTGGTCAAATGATAAGTTTTGTTGATTTTAAGTAAAAAATAACAGAATACAATACACATCCTTTACAGAGGACACAGTTCTGCATGCTTTAATGAACAGTTTAACATATTAGGGAAAAAAATAAAAAATAAAACATTAAATGTGCCCTGTGCAAAGGTTATGGTGCATTTTATATCTTATGTTTTTTTTTCAATATATTAAACTCAATTAAAAATTTGTTTTAAGTGTTTAAGTTTGCTCCCTGTAGAGGATGTGTTAACATATTTTCACTTTAAAAATCAACAAAATGTCATTTCAGGGGGGTATTCAAACTTTTCCATACATATCCGTCATACAAACCTTAAAGTTATGTCAACATTTACAGATACAAAAACAGTCAGATAATAATCACTTTGATGGAAAGTTTACTTTTAGTGACAGGTTTCTTTTTTTTCTTACAATCCTGCATATAACAGAAGCAAAACAGTTGCTGATCTTGGCTTCACATGTGTATTAGGATTACATACTAATGAAATCCAGGCAATAGTCACAAAGACTGTAGTGTAGGGGATACACGTCAAGCAGAGACTAGCTGTGAGGCTCAGGAAATGTGGGCATTGTGTTTTCATGTGTTTGCATACAACCCCTCCAGCCCACATTTTCCTGATTATCAACTGAGGGAGAAAGAAAGAAAAAGGGAGGGAATGACAGACAGGGTGATAGAACGAGAGAATATGATGTCCTTTCTAAACTGCCTCAATAAACCCCAGCTCCAAAACTCTTAGCAACCCAAAATGGTTAGAAACAAGGCAGAGTGGCTCATAAAACCCTCCTGAAGTAAAGCAGCCCTGCTGCTGGCTCATGAAACAAGACTTCCACTTTCTTATACTATAGTTTTTCAGATGTGACAGAAAAAGTAGTGCTCAGTACTTCCAAAACCATTTTAATCAGGTTCAGTGGGGCTCAAAGAACATAGGTCTTGGACTTGCCTATAAATCCAAATGCAGATGTTACTTTAGTCATTGTTCCCGTTGAACACTAGCCAGTTGAGTCTTTGTTACTAGTGCTCCAATACTGAAACCTCTAAACCCCCATGGTAAAATATTGCTTAAATAAAGGTCTTATTTATATTTCTACTTGAGTTAAAATACGGAAGTACTCACTTTTAAATAAACTTAAAGAGAAATTCCCTTGTCAAAACATTGATAAAATTTCAGAATAATTAAATATTTAAAAATGAAAATAATGTAATTCAGAGCAGTTTGATGTGAAACGCTCCATTATAGAGAAAAAAGTCAGAATTGTACACAACATTGGTGAAAGGAACCAGATCTTTGAAGTGTTCAATGCCAATTAAAGTTCCCTCACAGGATAATATTAAATAAAATTGTTAAGGATACAATGCTGGGTACCTGAGACATTGTTTTACAATAGTTCAGAGATCAGGTTTTGGCCAAAAACTTTTTTTTAGATTTTACCATTATCAACATACATATAAGCTCAAATCTGAGTCAGTATGTTTCTGTACAATGCACTCTTTCAAATCAGACCACTCAGAATTACTTTGTTTACATCTCAACCACTGAATTATGAAGAAAATAAAAAAAAAATGTAATTCCCTGTAAATTATTGAAAGATTATTCTGATGAACATTGGCTGCATATTCTGTTGTCACTGCAGACATGAAAAACAGAGTTTAAATGCGTATTTCCTCTTTTTTTATGCTTAAAGTTGTACCTGTCCAGCTATAGATTTTTAGCTTCTTCATAAATACACCGATCAGGCATAACATTATGACCACCTCCTTGTTTTTACACTCATTGTCCATTTTATCAGTTCCACTTACTATATAGGTACACTTTGTAGTTCTACAATTACAGACTGTAGTCCATCTGTTTCTCTGCATACTTTGTTAGCCCACTTTTACCCTGTTAGTTGAGTGAAAAATAAGATTTTTTTCATGTGTAGTAGCGTGAAAATAAAAAATATATGATGATGACTGTTGTGAAAATGCTATACAAATATATATATATATGTATATATATATATATATATATATATATATATATATATATATATATATATATATATATGCATTACCCCATCATTACATAATTTGTTTTCTGTGTCCTGCATAGGATGCCACAAGGAGCAAAATAGAGGCCCAAATGAGGCAATTATGCCCCGAATTGAACTGCAACTTTGAAATCTTCCAGGAGGAAAACTCCAAAAATGTGATTGTAACTGGATCAAATGTTACAGGTATTTTCATTTCATTTATTTTTGGATGAGATCCAAATGAATAACTCAATCTTGTGAGCTCAAACTTGTCTCTTCCTACAGGAGATGTCAATGGAATTGCTGATAGGCTTGCTGGTATCAAAGCAGATGTGAGTACATAATATTATGATTGGAATAACATGTATTTTTATGCTCCAAATGAATACAGTGCAAAAAATGATATCACAGCAAATTTTAAATCTAGTCAATACATCTAATATTTCACATTTTAGGATTAGTGTAAGAATATTATAAGATTATTTAACCTATTTCTAGATTGCTGCATGTTTTAAGGAAATTTTTTAGTGAGTGTGTTGTTCCACTAGAAGATATTTTTTCCTTTTTTTTCAGACATGACTTGAACACAGCAGTGATAAGCAGTGATTTCTAATCAGTGTTTCATAGGCATTTAATTGAAAACAGCACAAAGAAGACATTTAATATATTCATATTTAATATATTACCTTATCAATACATTTCTTTTTTAAATAAATACTAATTCCAAATTGAATGCCTCCGACACAACTAAGTTGGGGGAGAGGCAATGTAAGACTGTGAAATTTGTGGAAGGTTCAAAAACACCTGTTTTGGGACTTTCCACAGGAAAATAGTTGCATAGGTAACAGACAATGCTATCATGATTGGGCTGAACATTTGTGAAGGCACCGTTAATGCTGAGGGGTACATCCATAGTTTAGAGCAACATATGGTGCCATCTAGATGACGTCTTTTTCAAAAAGGTCCCTGTTAGTTTCAGCAAGACAGTGCCAAGCCACATCCTGCATGAGTTACAAAAGCATGGCTTTGAAGTAAGTGAGTGCAGGTGCTAGACAGGCCATCCTGCTGTCCTGACCTGTGTCCCATCAAAAACGTGCGGCACATTATGAAGTGAAATATACGACAGCTTTCGCAACTACAATTGGTGTCCTCAATTACCAAATGAATACTGAACGTTGTTCAGTTCAGAAGGAAATATAATGTAACACAGTGGTAAACATGGCCCTGTTGCAGGCATCAAATTTCGAATAAGCATATAAAAGTTAATTAGTTGAAAGATTAAGTGTCTTGTCTTTGTACTGTATTGAAATGAATACAAGTCAAAAATGATGCAAATCATTGCTGTTTGCTTTTAATTTACATTGATTATACTGTCTCAGCTTTTTTGGAATTAAGTTTGTAGATAAAATCACTTAATAAAGTAAAAATGTCTTTGAGTAGTTTAAATAATCTTATTATGTTCTTACAATAATCCTATAAAATGAAATATTACATATATTGACTCATTCTAAGATGTTTTCACTGGCTGAGATATCCATTTTTGCAGTGTACTATTTTATTTTCCTCAGTCTTTCTTTTATATGTATTGGTCTTTCGCTTTAAATCCACAGCATAGACTCCTAAACATTTAAAAAAGATGTTTTTTCAAGGGTTCTTTGGCAAAGAAAATGGTTCTGAATTATGAACTATGAACACTCAAAGAACCCTTTGCATGATTTACAGGTTCTTTGCATCATGAAAGGGTTCTTCAGATTAATGGAGAATGTGCTTTACATGGTACTATATAGAACCTTTAATAAAAGGGTTTTGCTATTGTTACAAGCTTGACATCAAATGTTCCATTTTGATCGCAGTTCAAAGTCAAAACTACAGAAACATGAGAGAAGAAGACCAATAAGTGCTGAAACAGATAGTGTCCGAGATTATATGGCCAGTCCTGTAAACCTTGTTCCAATATAATATCAAGCAATGTTAGACAGATGAGCCCGACGCATGCAGGCACCAGGGTGAGGATTCTCAGAGACTGACCCTCCTCCACCCCAGGGCCCACTACTGACGTCAGGGCACCTGCCACAAGCCTGTTACACGCTCCCTCCCTATTTTATCCCTTTCTCTTCCTACCACTCCCTATAACGTTCTCCCTCTCCCTCTGTTGCTCTCTCAGTTGGAAGTCATCTTAGGACTCAACTTACACACACACAGACACACACACACACACACACACACACACACACACACACACCCACACACTTCCACATACATACACACGTGCGCACACACTCCAATGTTTGGATAACCGTGCTCTCTGTGTTTCTCCTCAGAATTTATTCTCCATTGCACATGTTTTAGGTGGGCCTGTGCTTGACGTTAAAAAGAGTTAAAAAGACTATGAAGAGAATATAATGTGGGTTATGTAGCCAACAGCCTACCTGCAGCTCTGTCTCTGAACAGAAGATATACTTATAAATCTGCTGACATTAAAGGAGTATGTGCTGATATATGCATTGATAACCACCTCCTGCTATTAGAACAAACGTGATCAAGCTCGGGGTGAAAAATCCTAAAATTACTGACGATATTCCAGTTTAGGCTTTTAAGCTGGGTGATCCCATATGGATAAAAATATACAAACATGTATTTTTGTGTATTTGAAATACATTTCAAATACATAGCGATCTATGCCGAAATACATTCCAAACACTACAATTTCAGAATTATATTGTCATACTAACCAAATATATTTTAAAGTACAATTGTTTTAAAATTTATGAAAACAGCCAAAAATATTTGTCTAATGCACTTTACTGCATGGAATACCAAATTATACCTGAATTTGTATTCCAGTCTCTTAATTGTAAATATTAGGAAATGAAACAAATGAAAAGTAGTGCAAACAGTGCATTATACAAGTATTTTGGCTATTTTCACACATTGTCAAATGAATTTGACAAATACATTTACATACACTTGTTTTTTATTTTACATTTATATGTGCAGTATAAAATACATTTGGTTAATATGGCAATATAATCTGAAATACATTTTAGTGTTTGGAATGTATTTCAGCATGGACTGCAATGTACGCAAAGTTTATTTCAAATATTTAAAAACACATGTCCATATATTGTTTCCATATGGGTGATTAGGCTGCCGCTCACATATACAGTCAGTGTCGTATTACATTTTCTCAAGAAATTGGTCCTGCCTACTATAAATCATATATGATTGGTATGTGGTTGATTCATTCATTACTTCATAATAATGATGATGATCTAATGCATTAGGACTTCTTCAGCTCTTGAAGTCCTAACCAAAAACACAGCTTGCTAAGATACCGCAGAGGAAGACAATTCCTGATTGGCCAAATTTCTGCTGGACATGGCAAGAATTTCACTATTTTGTTTCCATTCAAAACTTAATGATGAAACAAGGGTAGCAGTGTAATATTTGCAGAATTAAATACAAGCATGATTTTTATTTTACTGCATTATTTGAACACAGCTGCTGTCCTTTACATGATGACTACCAATAGAAATAGTCCAGAATTACTTCTCATAATATCTTTTGCATTGCATTAACAGTTAAAAACTTTTTTTGCCTTCTCTTGTAAAGTTGCCATTTTGGAGATACTTAGGTTTTTTAAAAAGTGGTGATATGGTTCTTTAAGGAAACATTTTACAGAAAGGTTATAGCACCAAAAAAAGGGTTCAGCTATTGTTACAAGTCATAAAACTTTTTTTGGTATGACATAGAACACTTTTTGTTAAGGGTGCAGGCTTTCTCTGTGTCCATGAATCCAGCATTAGATCATTCCCCTGATCTCTTTAGGATATCGTTTTTCCATATGGGATATTGTTTTTCCATAATTAAAAAAAGAAGAATTGAGTGAACTGCAAGTTTGTGAGGCAACAACCACAGAACTGTTACTAATGTTTCTTGATGTGGTGGAGTCCTCCTGATACGATGAAGTCAGATCCATAACTGAATCGTTTGTCTTGCTTGTGTGCAGCTGGGAGTGGTAACAGCCTCAGCCGAGCAACAGAGCAATCAGAAGCCAAAGATACAGTCACCTGCTGTGTTTGTGTCCGTGCTGGTGGCTGGCTTAGCATTGGGTGCTGGGCTGGTAGGAGGATACTTGTGGAAGAACCGTCACTCCAACGCAAAGGGCATGAAACTGGTGAGGGAACACACACAATGTCTTCTTCACTCTTATGAAACATACACACGCCTAACAGTGCATAAGTTCACCTGCAAAAACTTGAATGTGGAACAAAGGGAAGAGCACAACACAAACTAAGGATATACATTTTTATACTTCACAGAATTCACACCTATAATATTTTATTGCCCTCTTGGTGCCTGTAACATAGCACTGTTTTAACTCATAGTGAGAGTGAGCCAGGCTAAAGGACGACCTCCTCACGGCAGGGTTAGTTTTAACACAATGTTACAACTAAGCATCCCAAAGTAAACAATAAGTCCATATCTTCATATAAAATCAAAATAGTTCATCTTCATCAAGTTCTTATGCAGGGGTTCATCAAAACAATATAAGTAAAATATATTTCAAATCGAATGGAGTTCTGGGAAAACAGAAATTTGCCAAGAGGAAACGGCCTGCCTGGTATTTATTGTTATTTCTTGTTCTGTATATTTATTTGTCTGGTGTATTTATTGTATATTCTACACTTGTTTCATGCTGTCATCTATCTGCACTCTTTGTAGTCTTGTGTAATGTGCTACTGTTGTGAGTTGCTCCATGGGGAGTGAAGAATAGTTCATTCCAATGTTTATAAGTTATATTGAGGAATGACAATAAAGACCACTTAACTTGACTGAACTTGACTTAACTTAACTTGACCTGGCTTGACTTGACTTGAAACCCCTCCTCCTTCTAGTGTTACACCCTAAGAATTCCCATCTCCCTCTCAGGGTTTGTGTATGTCCAGCTTTCTAGTTCCATGCAGAAGCTGCCCAGAACCTCAGCCCAAGTTCTCAGAGTTCTGTATCAGTCAGTCTCCCTCATACTACCACCACATGTTGAAGGCACAGACTGAACTTTTCACTGTTCTTTTTATGCCTTTATTTTGGAAAGCTCATCTGGTCTGCTGTACACTGTGTATATATACATAGGTTGGGTCCTGCTCTCCCGTACATATTAGGGTCATACTAGTTATTCAATAGTTTATGTTGGTTACTTAAGGTTACCAAAGTAATATCTGAATAATACACCTACAGGTAAAGGGTGTATTTTTCAACATTTTAGTTAATTGAACAAAAGTACATATAACATCACTGTTGGAACAAAACCTTGTATCTTCATTTTTGTTACTTTTTAGTTTTTTTTTTCTGCGTGTGTGTATTTACAGAATTTGAAAATCCCAGCTGCCATTTACACTGTTATTACATTTCATGATGAATGGACCAACAGAAATGATCCAGAAACACTAAGACTAATATCTTCTTACATTAACTTACGCTGAAAGTTAAAAATGCTTTGTCCCTTCTCCTCCAAAAATGGGGGTTAAAACAAGAAGACAACAAGGTCCTGTTCTGACTGCAATGATAAACACATCACTTTTCCTTTTGACATTTCACTCCTCCTTCCTCCAATTGTGCAGCTGATTATTTGCCTCTTATTCACACCTTATTTTAAAGGTTCCCTATAATAGCATATCTATAAATACAGTTAAATAAAGTTGTTATTACAAATTAGATAGCAGCCCTAAAATCTAAATGTCTGAGCAGTGTTTGAAGGCATTTGTAACATTCCTGCAGTCTCCTTTTCTTTTGTTTTGTTCCCTTCCTGTTTGTTAACTTATATGTTTACCATATGCTTGTTAGTTTGGTTTTTCATTTCCTCCCCTTTGTCTCCACCCCTCTTGGCTGCTTCCATTCTGGTTTCCCTGCCATGTGTCTCTGTTTTGGTTCCTTTGCCCCTCCGTTCTCAGCCCTCATATTATGCTCCTCACCTGATGTGTTTGTTTCACCTCCCACTTGTCATTTGCTCCAGCCGTGTCTTGTTTCCTGTTTGGTATGTGTACCTTGTTATGCATTGTATGTTTGATACCTTTTTGTTTTTTGTGATTCTCATTTATTTTCCCTCGCTCCTGGATTCCTCCTTCAGTTCCTGCTTCTGGGGGATATTTCACAAAGCAGAATTCCTTGGTTAGCCTTATAAGGCCAAAAAAAAACAAGCATGTCCACTAGGAGAAGAGCTAAGGAACATTCCTATTGGACATTCCTCATCTTATGACTTAAGTTGCCCAGTTTGCACATATTTATCACTTTCTTATAACAACTGAATTCTATTTTAACGCACAGTTATGTTGCTCATATGTACACTATGTACACTAACTTTTGAGTTCATTGAGTTGCTAAAATTAACAGAACAATAACTTGTTTTACATTTACATTGTTAACGTATTATTTGAAGTTCAACAAACTCAGAAATATAAGTCAAGCAGATTATTTACTTTTTTGAGGTAAAAAGTTATGGAATTTTTTACAGTGTACCACTGAGCATGTGGATAGACAGGACCGAGCATCAGAGTGTATGATATAAATGACCTGAAGCTGTATTAAATATACCGCTAGCAAGAACCTGATTTTGTTCTTCACAGCTAGAACTAGGCTGATCAACACAGCATATAGCTAAAATGCTAGCTTTATCCTCTCATAAATTTAAGTGGTTCAAATTTAAGTATTTACTGAAGGATTCACTGCAAAATTCACTGGGAATATAAACGGTTGGCACCGTAAGCTTGATGCTAACACAACATGATATTAATGCAAATCCCATATTATTTTGAGTTATTTGAGTTGAGCTATTGCTTTAATAGTGTTAGGGCTAGCATGGACCAGGGGTAAGATGTTCAATTGAGATTATGATTAGGAGAGTGAGTGTTTTATGCTAATGGAAAAATAAGTTAAATAGTACTTAATAGGTTTTTAGTTAAATGTTGGTTGAACAGCTCTCCTGGAGATCAACCTGAAGAGTTCACTTCCAAACCTCTTATCCAGAGCATCTGTGTAGTTAGATGAGGTGTGTTAGATTGTGACTGGAGCTGGAAAGTAGATCTCCAGGAGCAGAGTTGGTGACCGCTGCTTTAGATATTTACTGTTGCTAAGTCAGCAGGTGGTCACTGCCATAAAATTTCAGTCTGCCCCACCAAGCGTCCTCAGTCAAATCCCCATTCCAAAACTGCACACTCATTCCAACTGCAAATGTTATTGCAAAGCAATACATTTGTAGTGCATTTGGTGCAGATGCGAAGGGCAGTCTGATGATGTGTTCGCTGGAGAATTGTTGCCAGGCTTGTGATGTGGGAAGCAACTGGCTCCATATCAGAAGTGGTCGCACAGCACACACCCCTATCTAATTTCCCGAACTTGAGCATTAAGAGAGTGAAATATTATTTGTTTCATCTCCATGCCAAATCAGCGCAGCTGTTTTTTCTCTCTTTGACGTCAAGCAATAAAGTTCTGATAAAAAGCTGCAAAGCCCTTAACTTTGGCTGCCAATTGTGGAGCTCCATCTGTATTGATAAATAGAGCCATGTGGCATTTAAAACAAGCACTGAAAATGAATAGCAGTGTTTGCTTCATATTAACCCTTAGAGGTCTACTACTGTCATCGTGTTGTACTACTGAAATGCAGATACATCATTTACATAATTCATTTTTACGTAACATAGTTACACAATGAATCGTACCCACAATTATGATGTTAACTTCAAATCATAATATAATAATAATACAATAATAACAGAAATTATGTAAAATTGTTATGTAATCTAGACACAAAAAAGTAACTGTATTCCAATGCAGTTACATGTAAAAGGCAGATTACAGATATGTTATAAAAATATGGCAGGACTAGCAAGACTATAATAAAAAACACCTTTTCACACTAAACACAGTTTTTCAGATCATGAAAATGTGACAACTCATTCCACCAATCTCTGTTATGGTTGGCATAGCAACAACCAAACCGACCAGCCAATTGTGTCTCAGCAAATAATAACAAACATCAAAAGGATTAGGTTGTCTTCTGCTCTGTCCTATATCTTGCTATATTTCCAAAAGCAGCTAAATCTGGACTGTGGACATCAGAACTAAATGCAAAAACACTCAAAACACAATGAGGGAGTGGAATGCTCTGTACTGCTTTGCTTTTCCAAAATGGAAAATAGTCTGCCCTTTGCCACCTTGTGCTCTTTTGCACCCTTTTATTGGCAAATGATATTCTGCTGGTTGTTAGTTTTGTTTTTTGTTTGTTTGTTTGTTTTTTTTCACTGCACAGGCAACTTGCGAAATATACACAGGTACATAATTTTGGCAGGCAGTTAAATTACCAGTATCATTTTGTGTGATACATCAGTGCAGTTTTCATTTTTCCTTTAAAAAAGAAATCTTGTACAGATTTGATTTAACTTTAATTTAAAATGCTTTTAATAGATTAATTTAATCATACTTTAAAAATACTAACTCCAAAAGATTATATTACTTTAATGGGCCCATCTCCTTTTTCTAATAAAAGAGTTTGATATAGTATATAAGCATCGCTAACATTTCCAAACATTTATTTCACTCTTCAGTCCATACAGTCCATACATACGGAAACTAAACTGCAAAAACACAATATGAAACCAAAGCAAAATACTAAGTAAAACTGAGAATAAAACTAAAAATCAATAAATAAATAAATACAGAGTTACTAAGCTGCAGCATTTACATGATTATGAAAGTAAGCTGGAAGAGATTCAGGAGTGTTCAATTATTATTGGATAGAAAACAGGCACATAGAAGAGGAACAGTGTTCCAAGTTTGGGGCCCAAACTGTTAGAATATGCACTTTTAACAGAAGTTGAAATGATTTACAGCTGAGAAATAATTAGAATAAAATTACAAAAACTTCTAAGACTTAAAAATGCTGATTTGGTTTGAAAAGTGCTCTTCCTCCAAAATGACTTGTATCACTTGTAACGGATACCTGGCAAGGAACAAATGTTATATTTACCAAGTTCTTTTTATGCCTGTTTCCCTTAGGCTGAGGAGTCCATGATGCCTGATGAAGAGAACCAGGGCAACACTTTGGTATCTGTGGCCCCTCTGAACCCCCCAGAGCCCCAGGAGAAGCCTAGCCTGAATGGAGAGTCCCCAGAAGCTGTGAAGACCCAGAATCCCCCTGCAGCTACGAACGGTCACTCCGCCACCAAGACGGCAGACACTGAGCTGTGAGAGCTGTTCAGTACTGCAGGCCCTGGGTTAAAGCCCATCATCCCAGCCCCCCTAAACCTAAACCCTGTTCTGTGGACCCTGGCCTACAAAGGACACCAGGGGACTACCACAGCCAATGCTCCATCTCCCGTATTTTCCTTTATTTTTATCAATACGATTAGCAAACACTGGGGGCCAAGCTAATTTGTAAAGAGGATGGTGATGATGGTTCTGATATGTAGTTTAAAAATAGTTTGTAAGATAAAGCCAATCAAAATTCTCAACTGTAAACATGACTCAGACTTTATGGTGTTAAGTTGTCCAGGCAACGATGATGATGATAATGATGATGATGACGATGGTAATGCTGATATTTTGGTAGGTTCATAGGATTGAATCAAGGCGACAACCAAATCTTTTTTGCATATTTCCAATTGTTAAATGCCATGTAAAGGACGTGTAAGTTTGTGGTAATATGCTGATCAAGTAATGATGGTGCTAGTAATTTTGGTATTATATAATGAAATGATGGTCCTTTATAATGTGAAGAACGTGAGAGGTGTGGCCCTCTGAGCTGATGTTAAATACTGGCCTGGGTGGAGGACCTTCCACGTGATTCATTGATGGCTCCCATGACTGCAGTCAGGGTTGGCCTGGGTTTATCCCTGCTCGTGTCTCAAAGCTTCACAGCTTCTCTCTGAAACCTTCCACATGGCTCCCTGTCCGAGAACACATCGTTCCTCTGGTCATTCTAAATTACATGATGAAGAAATGCTCAAAATGATGATATGGGCTTTACGTTTGCTTTTGTATGTGTGTGTGAGTGTTTACCTCCATATGGGTGTATCAGGGTGTGAAAATGTATCGATTTGAAAGCGATCATCGATTGTGGAATGCTATTACCAAGTGTGAGCTAATTTATTTGGCCAAAGAAAAAGTTTAGGCAATTTTCAGATGTAAAAATCCCAAAAAGTTTAGTGTAAATTTACCTGCATTATTTACCACACTGTAAAAATGTTCAGCTTGCATAAAAAGTTAGTTATTCTGTAGTCAGAACTAAAATTAATATTTAGTTGAGCTACCATAACAATCTATATTGCAGTAAGAAGTACAAGTCAAAACTTTTTGAAGGCAGTGTTAGGAGTCTTGCCCAAGGACTGTTATCTATACAGTGGGGTGGTCCTACCTACACAGGGTCTCATATGCCTTACTACCCCTGCCTTACTACAAAGCCAACAAATTACATAATTAGATAATTTAATGCAGGGCATGTAGGTTATACTATATGTGCTAAATGCAGCTATTGATGTGACAAGAAGTTGCAAGGAATTTCCTGTTGGTGTTCAAAAATTGCATGAAATCTATCTAATTTCATCTAATAATGCATTTACAGTAAAAGTACATATATACATTTGACTCAACTCAGGTGGATAGGTTTGCAGAGGAAACTGGAATAAACTCATTAGATATTGTTCATCAGACTTCTTTGTTTTAAATGCACCCCATGTAAGATTTGTGAATTTGGAGACCTTTCTGGTTGAAATGTGCAATTGCACGCAACTTGTGGAAAAGCATTATGTAGTAAACTTGCTGAAGGACGTCTTCTGAGGATGTAAGTGAATGATCTACTATTGTCATCACATCGGTATAATGCTGATTTTAATTTGAGACCTAAACCTTAAGCCTTCCTCTGCGTGTGACATTAATACCTAAAGACGCATGACGTGGTCCAAAAAACTCCTGCAAAAGCTGACCTGACGGCTCTGACTTTTCAAATATGTCAGGCTTTACAGAGTTTTTATTTCCTCCTGACTCAGTAATGCTACTTCTTTCAATTTGAACAAAAAACTTGCGTAGTGCAGCTTTAAGAAAGAAATCTTAGTGTCATTGCTCTGCATTTTTGCATTTTTTTTTTCTAGTATAAAGAATCGTGATCAAATCGAATCACTGTGCGATTTACACCCGAAGTGTGCATGTGTTTGAATGCATCCATGTTGAAAGGTTGTTGCGTGTGTATTAGTTGGAGTGATATTTTGAGTGCATTGCTGTAAGTATGCATGTGAACAATATGCTCGGGCTAGAAGATAGTCATGTACAAGTTTTTGTTTAAATGACAACGTGATGACTTGGAGTTAAGGTCTTACATGGTGCTGGACCTCGGTGAACAACAAAGAACTCCTTTTCGTCACCGCAAACCACCAGAAAACTCCAAAAACTGCCAAATCCTATACAACAACCAGTGCTGAGAGGTGACACTTAAAAGGTCTCCTTTTCAATGGACCGAGAGACAATTTGGAAACATGTATTTGCTTTATCTTTGTAAACCAGTATTATGCTCTTTTGTAATATCTGTGTAATTTGCATAGTTGTTTAGATATAGCGGTTATCTTGAAACTCGTCCTAGTCTTGTCGTTTTAATGCATTTCTTCCATTCATTCTTACATTTGTAGATCAGCCATCAGCCAAAGCAAAACTTGAATAGGATAAAAACTGCACTGAAAGAAGTGATGGGTTGAATTTGCTAGATTCAAATGTGTACATTTTACACATTTTTCATGATGTCTGAAGTACGTTCAAATGTATTACTTTTTTCAGTGCAACTGTTTATGTGTACATAGACTACCACAGCAATAGGCACAGTACTGTAAAGGTAATAGAGTCTCTTAGCTTGGCAGCCATAATCTATCATCTGGTTTTCTCTTCAAATCAGCCCATTTCTGGAAAAGAAAGTGATCACACATGCATGAGCATGTTACATACTTTCTTTTGCATTTTTTTTTTTCACATGGTTTGTTTACTCATGCCCCATCTGAACATTTCATTGTTCAGTCAGGCTGGGGAGGGGGGTCTGTGTACTAGAATTGTATTAAGCTGATGACTTTGTTTTTGATGTAAGTTTGAGATATGAATAAAGTTTTGGAAAGTACATGTATTTCATTTTCTTCCAGCTCGTAATATTTGTTTTTCTTCACCAACTGGCGGAAGAAGCTGTTTATCTGAGGGAATATTGTTTGAGATTATCCACAGGCTCTCTGTCTCTCTCTCTCTCTCTCTCTCTATCTATCTATCTATCTATGTCTATCCCTGGTTATAGCTCTCTCTCTTAATCTTTTCTCTCACAATCCATCTTTCTCTTTTTATCTTTCTATCTCTCTTTTTCTATCAACCATTCTTTCCCAATCTCCTCTTTTTATCTTTATTTATTTCTATCTTTCTTGTTCCCTACTCCCTCTTAATCCCTGTTTCTCTATTTCCCTCCCTTTTTCATTCCCTGTATGTCTCTCTCTCAAACCCTCTCTACACTTTTCATATGTATCTCTCTCTAAATCCCTTTCTCACTTTACCTCTCCCTCTGTCTATCTTTATTTCTCTCTTCCCTCTCTCACTCTCAATTGCCCTTCTTCTCAATCCCATTTCTCTCTCTCAATCTCTCTCTTTCTCTCTAACTCTCTTTCTCTCAATGCTTGTCCTCCTCTCTGTCCCTCCTTCAACAACTGCCCCCCCCCTGTCTTTCTGTCTCTCTCTGTCTCTCTTCCCTCTCTCTCTCTCGCTCTCTGGCTTTCCCTCTCCTACACACACAAACAGACACATATAAAAATACTCTGTTGCTGTGAAAGGGTCCTATAGCCCATAAGAGCAAACAGCTGGCTTGCATAAGCGATGGCGCTGACATCATGGTGGAGGGATTTGTCTGTGTCTCTTTGGGTCACGCCCCAGTCAAAAGTCTTCTCAGCTGGATCAGCCTCCCATGTGCTGGATCTGCAGTTAACCCCGCACACCCAACTCCTCTCTAAGAAACCACCGACCCTGACCTCTGGCCTTAGCATCTTCTCACCGGGCTTTCACCGGTCAGCAGCTGGGTGGGGAGAGAGGGACTTTTGCAACATTTGCATTATTAAGATGTTAAGCATTGATTTATATAACCATAGCACATTGACAAAAGTCATTACTTGAAATCTGTATGTCATTTTCATATTAACAACATGACTATTAGAGATGGGCCATCAGTTTGGACTGTAAAAACTCAGAAAAGCGTCTCCACAGTAATGCTAATCTCAGATAGCACCCCTGTGTTATTATTAAGGACTAGATTTCATGCAGATATTTGAAGCTTGTAAGCGACTTTCCATGCTTTAATTGAAGCCTGTAACAGATATATTTATATATACTTTTCTTTGTATGTAACAGTTTTACAGTGACATCTGCCTAGAGCTGCTGCTGTTTTCTGCTTCTAACAACTGACTGAAATGCATTGAGCTGTCTACCACTCATGCTCACAGTCAGTGACATATCCGCTGCCGCTGTTTTCTGCTTCTAACAACTGACTGAAATGCATTGAGCAGTCTACCACTCATACTCACAGTCAGTGACATATCTAGGACTTTCAGAAGGCCTAGAGTGATGTTTTCTTACAGAATTGGTTGATTCTACTGTCAGTTCCTGATTACGTTAGTGGTTAATCTGACATGTTAGGCTTTCACTTCATCTCCTGAATTTATAACCAATGGTTGAGCTAGCATGGCTGTATCTACTTAGGCCTTGTTCAGACTGCTAGCCCAAATCCGATTTTTGGCATATGCAGATGGTATCCAGATTGACATTTGATAGTCTGGACAGCAAAAAACACATGAAGTCTGATTTTTGCTAATCAGATTCAAAGCACATTTGGAGGTGGTTTGAAATGCGTCTCAGCCTGGATGCTCTGACCACTCAAATCTGATTTCAAAGTGTCTTTTGCGTCACTCGCAATGCAACAATGACAATGTCAAGTGGTTTCAAGAAGAGTGCCAGAGATTCATGCTTGTGCTGGAGAATTTCTACTCGTATGCTCTATGGAAAAGAACAACAGCCTGTAGACAGATGCAGAAATAAATTTTATATATTTTATATAAATTTGCTTGCACTTTGAGTGGGAGGCTTTCGTACAAGCAAATCTGGAAGAAACCTACTGGAACAAGTCAATTTTCCAAGCAATATTTTGCAGCCTGGAAGAAGGGGTGTTCCAGAGATCATGACCACTGCAACATCACAAACACATCAAGGTTGGTGATGTCTGTACACACAAATCCGATCTGATCACAAAAGATGTAATTTGAGAAACAAATCTGATTTGCAGTCTGAAGATAGCCTTATATACCCTAGAGAAAAAAATCTTCATTGGATTATTTTTTTGGTTTCTGAACAAAACATAACAATTAAATTACTATAATACTTGCTGAGTTTAAACACAACAGGCATAATGATTATGTCAAATAAAAATATACTAAAAGAGACAGTTTTAATTTCAAAGAAACCAATAAGTCTTCTCTAAAGGTACAGAAGACCCTGAGGTTTCCCCACTGTTCAGTTTAATTCAGTTTATTGGTGCCAGGTACACTTACACCTACACTTATTGGCCATTTTATTAGAAACACCTACTGTATAGGTGCACTTTGTAGGTTAACAATTTCTGACTGCAGTCCACCTGTTGCTGTACAATTTATCAGCCACTCTCTACCTTTGTCCATCAATGGAAAGGACCACCATGGGACCACCGTTGAGCAGATATTATTTGTGTGGTGGATGATTCTTAGCTGAGCAGTGATCCTAGCACTGTAGTAGCATGTTTTTGTGTGTTGTGCTAAAACGTGTGAATCAGCCTTTTTCCACTAATGGATGGCAGGGTGGCTGATAGAATGTAATTGTAACTATAACTCCCCAAAGGGCACCCCTGAGCCGACAGTATGTGACTGAGGTGAGCGAGGCACCTGACCCCCAACTGCTCCTCAGGTGCTGCGGATAGGGCTGCCCACTGCTCCAGCCAAGTGTGCTCACTGCCCCCTAGTGTGTGTGTTCACTAGTGTGTATGTGGTGTTTCCCTGTTAGGATGGGTTAGATTGCGGAAATTTCTCCAAAATATAAAATATATATATATATATATATATATATATATATATATATATATATATATATATACTGGCAAGTGTATTTCATTTAAGTGGAAATCAGAAGACACAGTAGTTTTTTCAGTGCATACAACAAATTGCAAAACATTAGGATCAGTTACAATTTGATGCTGCAAAACACAAAGTTAACAGGATTGGAACAAATTTGTTTTATGGATTAACAAATAAAGAATTGAAAAAATAGAATAATATATATGTTAATACAAAAACCCTTCCATCGCTGTCCTGATCTTACCCATTTTGTGGATCAATTATATTTACTTAATTTTTTGGGCGGCTGTCGTCTAACTGTTACAGTGTGAACAAAGCCCCCCTTCACCCCTCCCCAGCAATCACAGGACACACATATGATCTCCTTTCCCACCCTCAGGCACCTCTGCCAAGGGCTTCGTACTCTGCTGTCACCATAAATATGCCACCCATCCAATCAAGAACGCACCATAAAAATCTCTCAAGGCCTTAAAAATGAGGCACATAATCACAGACAAAACGGCAGCTATCAGTGCACTTGAGAGAACATTCCCCGAATGAACAAGGCGCAAACAAACAAGCTGCTTTTACTTCTGATTGAGCCTGAGGCAGAGATGTTGAAAAGAACTTTAACCCCTTAGGCTGCCGATATATTATTTAGTCATAGTCTTAAGGCGAGTCCGAGTCAAGATTGAGATCAGGAGTGGCTGAGATTTTTTCAGAATTGTATATTCATTTTAATTTATTAGACATATTATATATTTATACATAATGTATTTTGTATTATAAAATGGATAGTTCTGGTCCTAAAATCTTATTGGCTGAGCTGCATTTAAAGCCATTGTAAAATCCATGACATAAGCACACCGACCACCTCACATCAACTGAATTCTGTATTACTGCCCCACGGCATGAAAAATCTTTGTGCTGTTAAAGGAATTATCATTGACTCTAATTCAGCCTGCACGGACCACTGAGTGTACTGATGAAGTAACAACCTGTTTCTGTTTAAACTGAGGGGCTGATAACTTATTTTCTTAATTAGAACTGGGCTGGTCAGCTGGCTAACATTCTAAAAGATAGCAAACATGCTAAACTGCAACATTAGGCTTGAATTAAAGCACTTACAATATGATTTACTGTAAAATGGCATTATAAAAGTCTAAAAAAATGCCACTTGAATGGCTTACACACTTCAAATGCCCGTGTTTAAATTCCTACATAGTGCACTATGTAGGGAGCAGGGGGCCATTTAAGATGATGTGGAAAGAGGGGCATCGAAGGCTTGGCAGAAGAAGACTTGCGATGTTAATTTGGTGACCAAAAAGTGTTTATAATTGAAGGTTTTTGCATTAAACAGTGCTATGTTATGGTATGATGTGTTCGCTGTTACATGACAAAAAGTTAAAAAGTTCATGAAATGACCGCAGTATACAGTGATGGGCAACTGAACGTTCTTCTCCTCATTCAGTGGTCCATGGTTGCCTGGCAACGATACCACATGCTAAAGGAACTACAGGTCTTGGTGGAATACCTGTTAATGTTGATTATCATTAATAACAAATTATTTTCTGAGAAGGACGGCACTGTGGTGCAGTGGGTAGCACTGTTGCCTCTTGGCAAAAAGGGTCTGGGATTGATTCCCGGCTGGGCAGCCAGGGTCTTTTCTGTTTGGAGTTTGCATGTTCTCCCCGTGTTTGCTCCGGTTTTCTCCCGCAGTCCAAAGACATGCAGTCAGGCTAATTGGACACGGTAAATTGCCCCTAGGTGTGAATGTAGCTGTTCGTCTGTCTGCCCTGCAATGACCTGTCCAAGTTGTTTCCTGCCTTCCGCCCATTGACTGCCTGGGATAGGTTCCAGCTTCCCCTCAACGACCCAGAAGGATAAGTGACTTATAAAATGTGTGTGTGTGTGTATTTCATCATATTTTATGTTTTATAAAAGCAATAAGCCATTTAAGGCTTATTTTTAAGATCACCCTTCTGCATGATAAAATCATAGTAACGCTGGGCCTCTC